AAAAGAAAATATGAAATCTGCAGACTAAAATTTCTTAAATTGAATATGTTGTCAATGTCCAGAGTAGTTGTTCAAGTAGAAAAAAGAGTCTCTCTTACAATATAAATCTTCACTGAAATATTCACCAAAAAAAATGTAAACAAGGTAAATATTTTTGTTTTGAAAAATTACTCTTGACATCAGACTTTTGAATTTGAATATACACTTTTGAAAATAATTTAAATTTTTTTAATACCAACTAATCATAGTACAATTTGTTACATTGTGATTGCAGGAATTTCATTTTCATCTCACCCTCAGTCATCCCTACTACTCATTTAATAATGTGTCAAAGTACTGGTCAAAATTAAACCTCAAATTTGTCCACTGTATTGGCAATACTTAGACTTTTTTTAAAACATTTGTATTATTTAGAACTGAATTTATGGTAAAGGTTGGCATGTTATGGACAAACTTAAGGTTCTATTTGTTTTGAGTTCTTTCGCAAATTTGTAAATGATTGGAAAGGACAAATAAAATTGTGATGTACCATAAATTCTTACAATTACAATACAACAAAGTGCACAAAACAGGACTTAAAACTAACATTCAAACATTTCAGCTTCCATTTCTGGTTTTACTATATTCAAATGGAAGTCTAAGCTTTAAATGATGATCCAATAGCCCTTGCTTGATATTTAGGGATACAACTTTTTACATGTATAAATGTTTTTACATTCAGATCCACAGGATATTAGATTTATTGAGTGATAACTTCTATCATAATAATCAAAATCTTTTTCAGAAATCTCACAAAATCATTGATGTCTTTTGTAAAAACAACATTGCTACAACAAAATTTACTAATAGATTGTTTGCAGATTTGTATTTACCTGGAATTTCTCTCATTAAAAAAATCTGTATTATCATTAGAAACAGCAGTTCTTACTGCTTTTCCGTCATTCTTCTGGTTCTGAGGTTTTGAAATTAAGAAAAAAGCTTTGTACTCTGACATAAATTCTAAATGTTACTAGTCTAATTCAAGCCGCTTGGGATTGCCTATAAAGAAGTAACTTCACATTGTAAGATTGAACGAAAAAGAGTTCAAAGGCCTGATTTAGAAATCTCCAGCTTTGGACAAAATCTATAGATACCATTTGCAAAGGGTTAACATGATCTAAAAGTTTATTTACATTTTGCTACAAACTGAGTTGAAAACTACTTAGTATTCAAGTAGATACACATCGAAAACATATCAACATTATGATCAACCTACTAACATTCAATTTCTGCAATTCTTTTAAATATCATTTATTGTCATAAACACTTGTAAAAGTCCATTTTGTACCGTGTTCCACGTTGCTACTATGTTGTCATTATAAACTAGATCAATATCCAACTGGCCTCACTAACATTGCAAATTCTAGACTTATGTAAATAGGTGCAACCTAAAATTGTTAAACAAAAAAAGTAGTATTGAATGGGAATTATAGTTGCTGATACCTCCAAAAAAATGTCGTCTAAAAATAAAGGTCGTAAGTTGAAAAAATTGACTAATGGATATACTGGAATTTTTCAAGTACTTCAAAATTCTTCTAATACCTTGAAAACTGTTAATTTTCAAGGTTATAATTTAAATAAGGAGAATTGCTTAAGTATTGCTGAACTGTTTAGTCATTGCTATAAAATTGAACAGGTTAATCTATCTGAAAATCATGGTATTGAAAGCAATTTTTTAATAATTATTAAAGAACTTCAACAATCTTCAAAAACAGTAAAATATCTTGATATTACCAATTGTAATTTTGATAAAGGAACTTGTGAAAAGTTTGGTAAAATGTTGTCAAATTTTAATGTACTTGAAGAAATTTATGTAGGAGGAAATCCAAATATGGGAAAAGGATTGTACAGTATTTGTAAAGGACTTGAACAATCTACAACTACTCTGAAAAAGATCAGTGTGTACAATTGTAATTTGAATGAAAGTAAATGCAATTCAATAAGAGATTTATTATTCAAATGTTCAAAAATTGAAAAAATTAATCTTGGTGAAAATGTAAATATGGGTAATGGATTTTTAAATATTTGTGAAAGTCTTCAAAAATCTTGTACAAATTTAACATTCATTCCATTAAAAAAATGCAATTTAGATGAAAGTATTTGCCTTGGTTTGAAAAATTTATTAGAAAATTGTTCACAAATTACTGGAATATTTCTAGAAGAAAATTCAAAGTTGCAATATGGTTTACTTGAAATTTTTGATGGACTCTTATATTCTTGTAAAACTTTAAAATATCTATATTTAAATTTTTGTCAATTGAATGAAAACATGGCTATTGCCTTGGGAAATCTTTTAAAAAGCTGCTGTACAATTGAGGAAATCTATCTACAAGAAAATCCAGATATTGGAGAAAATGGTCTATTGAGTATTGTAAAAGGTCTTGAATATTCTTCAACTACTCTAAAAGACATTGACCTTGAAAGGTGTTGCCTAAATGAAAATATGTGTATACATATTGGCAATTTATTGGCAAAGTGTTCTCAAATTGAAAATATTTATCTAAAGAGAAATAACAATATGGGAAATGGATTTAAAAAGATATGTGAAGGATTGGAAAAATCATGTAAAACTTTACATATTATTGACATTGAAAACTGTAATTTAAATGAAAGTGTTAGTAAGTGTTTTAGAAATTTGTTGGACAAATGCCCAAATATAGAAAGAATATATCTTGGTTATAATCAAGATTTTGAATTGGACTGTATTTTTGAAAAACTTCAAAAGTCTTCATTATCTTTAAAAATTTTAGATATTGCTAAGGGTAATATTGATTCTAATTATTGTAAGAATTTTGTGGGACTATTAAAACAATGCATCAAATTGGAAGCTTTATTCTTTGAGATGAATGAATGGAATGAACCAGAAATATTTGAAATATGCAATGCAGTTAGAAACTCATCTGCAACACTCAAGTTTATATGCTTTGAAGATTGTCAATTAGATGAGAAAATGTTTATCTGTATAGGAGAATTATTAATGGATTGTCAAAATATCGAAGAAATTCTTATTGGCTGGAATAATAATGGTAAAGATGGAATTTTAAAAATATGTGAAGGTCTAGAAAGGTCATCTCATTCTTTAAAAATTATTGGTTTTCAAGCTAGCAATATAGATGATTCTATATGTAAAACTATTGGAAATTTATTGCAGAATTGTTCACAAATAACAGAGGTTCTCTTGTCAGATAATATAAATTTAACGAGAGGATGGAAAGCTATATGTGAAAGTTTAGAAGGATCTCTAAATACACTGATAAAGCTTGATTTAAGCAACTGCCAATTGACTAAAGCCATTCAGAAAAAAATAAAATACCAATTTCCATCAAAAACGCTAAAATTCTAGCTCAACCAAAAATCATTTTACTCAAAATCTTAGTTGTAAAATACTGGAGCAAAGGGCAAAGTGATGATTGGATATTAGGGCTAACCCCATAGTATACTGTATATATCTTCTCACTGTCACATCTTGCTTATTTTGTCATTAGAAAAGATCGTCTCGAAACAATCTTAGCTGAAACAAGACTTCTATCCTTCCACATTGGATCGCCAATCTCTGTGTAAACTTGACAAAAAATGTGAAGGTCTTAATTATTAATTTTCGCAATGAGTTTACCTTGTTGGTTGAATATAACATTATTATAAATGTGTTAAATTTTACAAATTGAACGCAACGTGTAAGTGTTTTGTTTGTAGGCCAAGTTGAAATATTTTCAAAAGTATAATGGTTCCCAAAATAAAGATATCTGCTCTTGTATCCTTTAAATATAAAAACAAAAAGACAAGATAAAGGTAAGAGTAAATTTTCTTCTCTTGCAATTGCCTACTTGTAAATTGTTGGTATTAAAGTTTCTTACAGAATCTGAATGTATATTTAGAATATAATTCTATCGGAGTAGTAGACAGTGTTAATAAAATCTTTCATAGTATTAATTCTTAAAATTGATTTAATGTTAAAGGGGAAAAAATTAATAAACCAGATGGCACCACCATCTATATTTTAGAAAATATTCCTACTCTTTTTCCGAACATTACCTGTTTTGCCTATATAATAAAATCATATTTATCATACAGATAGATAATGTTTAAACAGTAGTCTTACAGTTATTACCATTGATAACATTGTATTATAGAAATAGATAGAACTTGTAAGATTACCACAGTAACAATGACAAGTGACTTGCATTAATTTTATAGTTAATTGTCCAGTAACAACGTTTTGTTATCAATAATACTTATACAAAACAAAAGAGATGGCAGAAGAAAGGGAAAAGGAACCTATCAGTGGTAGGAACATCAAAAGAATTTTTGAATATCAAATAAATAAAAAGTTAACAAAAATTCCTCAGCAGAAGAGAAATGTGAATCTGTTTCAGTTGAAGAATTTGAAGAAATTCAATTAACTGACAAGATTTTAATGGATCCATTAATATATTTATTATCAAGCTTTAATATACAAGGAGTATTTGGTAATAGTCCATATATGAGTATTAACTAAAAAAAATTAAATATTCATTTATCCTTCTTTTGAAATTTCTTCAAAGAATATTCTAAGAACAAACACAAAGCTCAATAGCCATCTTGTAACAATCCGCTTAGAGAATCTTGCTAGTTTAAATGATTTGTTCTGGTATTGTTTATACGCAAATGCAAAGCATTTAAATGTAAGGAATTTCTTACATTCGACAACTTCAAGCATTTTTATCTTTATCTTTTTTCCTGACTGGCAGATTAGTACAAAACTCAAAAGCTTAAAGATAAGAAATTGCAAATCCATTACAAATTGGGGTGTATATTGGATATTAAAAAGCAATTTGAAAGAGATAAAGGATGTAGGGGAGATTTCAATATAAAAATGATATATATACTGTATATATATATATCTATATATCTTCAGATTTCCTAGTCAAACTGTGATAAGATAACCTCATGGGCAGTTTATGAAATTTCTTCAAAATTCCCAAAATGTCAAACGGTTAGTGTCTCTGTTTTTCTTTTCATTTAAAAAGTTTAAAATGCTTTATTTCCCAAAACAAAAAGTATTTGAATTTAGATGCATTGCACATTCCGAAGGAAGAATTATTAAAATTTGCAGTTAGCATGAGAACATTAGATCCTTATGTTAATCCTTTGGAATTGCTACACATGACAAATCAACAAAAACAACTTGGTAATTTTAAAATATTTATAAACATAAATTGTGTTGAAATGTTTTAATTATTGCTTTAAATTTTTTTTACTCTTTGTCTAACTGAAAGATCTCATTAGCAACTGCAAAAGACAGAATTTAAAGCTTGAAAAAGTCTTGATTGTTCACTTTAGATCAATGTACAACAGTGATAAAATAATAGAAAAAGATAAAAAATGGGCTAGATTTGACTTTCAAAATTACTTTTTAAATAAGCGAATGGAATTGAATAATTTTGAACTATTTCGTTGTTTTGTTCAAGATAAATACTTTTTTATGACTGCTCTGAAGCTTTCCTACCTTTGGTCTCTACAGAAAATTGCCAAATAGTAATACCATATACAAGAAAGTTCAATGAAGAGAAAGAAAAGTATAAAATATGTAGCAACATTGTGCAATATTTCATTACAAAAGTAAAAACATTAACAAAATTGATATAATGAAAATTTCAATGTTGATTTACATTCTTTTTAAACAGACTCTATTTCCAAATTGTTATCAGCAAATTACTTTCCTGGATGTTTCGAATGATAAAAAAAATGGTGAAGATGAGAAGGATTATTTATTGAAAAGAGAAGAACAAGGAAAGTATGATAGTGATAACTTGAAATTGGAATTAGAAAGTAGAGCTGCTGCCATTAGTGATAAAGAAAATTCTGGATTCCTTAAGTATATAATTAAGAGTTCTATATTGTAGCTTTAAAATCTCTTTTTTATTTTAAAGAGAGAATATTTATCTGGCAAAATTAAACTATAGAAAGGAACTTAAGTTACATAATAATTTGGCTTTGAAAGAGAATTTATCCAATTTTGCCACTCACTCAAATTATCCAGCTTTCTTCTATAAGATTGAACTCATGGTACATAGTTTTTGAATTTTGGAGAAAATGAACACCTATAAACACACATACATACACACACACACACACCATAGTTATGAGCAAGTTCAATGCAATCATTTTCTCCTAACTTTCTATCCTAATATAATTGTATTACATGCTATTTTTTATCCAAAAAAGATTTCCTCTTGGACCACAAACAGTAGTATTCCTGTATAAGTATTAATTGCTATTGAAAGATTTACTTTTCTAAACTATTACCTCTTTTGCATAACAACAGAAAATATGCTCAAATGTTGTTCAATTGGAAGAACAAATTACACAAATCATAGAGAAGGAAGAAAGATTTGTTCCATTACACCAAATAGTTAATCAAGTTCCAATTGCTTCAATAAAAGCAGGTGTTTTATGATAATATTTTTATTCTATAATATAATTAGAAATTTTACTATAGAAACTGACACTGATGAAGCATTGAAAACCTTTGATTTGGATAGTAATAATTTTTATTTTGAGTTTAAAAAAATACCTTTTGATGCTAAAGATATGAATGATTTGTCAACAAAACTATACCAGTTTCCATATTTTAAGGCTCTAGAATTTCTAGATAGATATGTAATTTAAATAATCTATATTATTTTTGTTGTTTTGAATGACAGAAATCTTTCATCATAATTTGTATGCATGAATAGGCTACACCTTTACTTGTAAAGACAATTTTCTTTGAAGAATACTATGTTGTCTCTCAAAATTGGTTGGGAAAAGTCCTTCAAAACATTGAAATACTTTCAAAACCGTGCGAAGATTCCATCAAAGATTATTATTTTTTGACAAAGGATACTCTTATCTGTGAAAATATGAATGAAGCATTTAATTTTTCATCTCAAATGGTTTTTATTTTCCAAAAAAAATGTTTCATTAAAACTTTGAATAATAATGTATTATGTTATTTTCAGAATGCTAGTGAGCTTATTACTCAAAAGAATATTCTTTGAATTGGAAATTGTTTTAGAGTTATCACCAAATTGTTGCATTTTTTCAGATAATTTACCAAAACCTGAAACTCCTTATGAAAGTTGTCTGGTTTGTTTGTTATTTTGAAACAATAGAAAAACCTTTCTTCAATTATCTTTTGTTTCTTTTTAATAGAATATAAAAGGAACTATCTCAGTTGTTTTTACTTATCATCTACCAAGTTCATTGTATAAAGATAATTTATACAGATTTTTGTTATACTTGGTTACATCAGTCTATGGAATAAGATGCTCATTTTCTACTATTGTTCAACTGAGGCAAGGAAGAATTATTCTTCATGATGGTCCAATAGAAACTTGCATTTAATTTGAAGATAATTCAAGCATAGAAGTTATTATTTCTTGTGTTGATTTTGTAGATGTTGCCATAGCAATTGGTACACTAGCAATGGAAATAATAACAATTATTGAATATGCTCTTCATAAAAACTCTATGTATTACGAGGTTAGATCAACTTCTTTAATATACTGTTATTCAAAACAATAACACCAACATCAACAACAGAAACATGTTAAGACTGTATGGGATGGTAGAGATGATCAAAGTAATCAAGTGAACTTTGACTTCTGTTAGTGTTTTCATTTTTTGAAAATATAAACTTCTTTTTAAAAATCTGTAAAATTCTTTCAACAGCTAGCAATTTAATTTTCACAAATCAATATATAACAAAAACAAATGTATCACGAAGACAAAATTTGATTTGGATAATGCATAAGGAGATTAACCCAACTGATTCTAGTGATGTAAACTTTACAAACAACATATCAACTACATCCCAAAAGGATCAGGATAATACTGATAAAGAATTTAATTTGAGTTCATTTACTTATAGACTTAGCAACCCAAATCCTCAAGTGAAGAAATACTTTTGTACAACCTTAATGGATCCTGTCTACTTTCATACATTTAAAGTAAAACCAAGTAATGTGACACACAGTATTCAATTAATGTAATTATCCAAAAAATTTTCAATATCTCAATAAATAATTCTCAATTTTTTGTTTTGTTTTTGCAGATCAAAAAAAAGGTATGTACTAAATTTATCATTTCAAGAATAATTACTGAAATCTATATAGGCAAAATATTCAATTTTGTCCTAACCATACATATGAAAATATCTTGGAAAAATATCCTCAAGACTATACAAAGGAAAGTGTATTACACTGAGTTATCCATTGTAAAAATTCAATTAGTAATTAATTATCACACCAAAAATTTTAATGATGTTGGTGAACAAATCGAAATGAAAGTTTTTCTTGATAATGTTTTACTTGATTGTTTTGCCATTCCAAATGAAAATTATGAACTGATCATTGAAACAAGAGAGGATTTAGCCATTAATAGTAATGTTGATTTTGCTTTTGCTCCTGTAAATATATAATTTCTCATTTTTTAAATTTTTATCTTCAAAAAGTATGTACAATTTATATATTTCAGATGTCTGATGTGGTAAATGATCGAATTTTGCCTATAAGTATAAAAATTGGACAGAAATTTCAAACAATGGTTGAGATGGAAGATAAATCCCTAAAGCCAACTATTGCTACAATATGTATAACATTAATAATATGACATCATATATAATCATTGATTGACATATCTTTCTGACTTTTTGTAGGTGATATTAAATCTTCTGCAAAATCAACAAATTTGATAAAAATAGGCCATCATTGGCTAAAAAATAAATTTGAATGGATAGACTTTACAACATTCATTTCATTAATTTTAAAAGATAAAATATAGTCCTAGGTATGAACAACTTGAGTTTTCAAGACAAAATACCACTGAGATCATGAATCTTTTACAATCTTTATTTTTAGCATTCAATTTTCTTTTTAAAAAAATATTTATTGTATTTTTTTCTGATAATAGATAACAAGCAAATTTTCAATTGGGAGAGGCTCATTGAATATTTAAATGTTGACCAGGTCCCACAACTCCTTGTTGAGAAAATATCTAAAGAGAGACCGAATTCTGAGATTAATTATGACAGGTTTATTAGAAAATATGCTAAGCTTCGAAAAAACACTCAAGAATACAATGGTGGGTGGGACTTAAAAATTAATAATGGAGAAGCATTTGAGATTTCTTATCATCTGTTTTGTTTTTCGAGCAGCTAGGTTTTACTCTGGAATAATGCCCAATTATGAATCTTATAAGAGAGCTGATGCTCTACCTGGTTTTCTGATAAGAAAGGAACTAAGCCCTACATCTATACCAGTTCTCTCAGATATAATAAAAAGCCAGAGTTTAATACCATATGGTCTATGCTCTATGGAAACTGAAGATGAAACTTGGACAGAATGTAGTCATGTTGTGAAGAGTCCATTTGAAATGAGCCATGACCAAAAAGTGAAATTATGGGAGCTTACCAGATTAGAACTTATTTCATTTCCAGAGTAACTATTTTTTTAAAAATTTATTCATCATTCTTGTCTAATCAATTCATTTATATTCAAAATATAGCACTCTTCAAATTGTGAGCTGGCTCAGTTATCATTTCACGCATTCTATTTGTCAACAAGACATAAAGAGACAGCAGTTAGTAGATATTTAGCTTGGAAAATAACTGATCATTTTAACTGGGAGTACTATTTTTCTTCTTTCTCTCAATTTAAGAAAATTGGAAAGGCAAAGAGAGTATTCCTACTTTGTGATTTTCATTCTTCTTTAAATAAGAATATTATTAATTTTCCAAAGAAAGAATTAAAAGAGTTCATTAAATACTCAATAACATATTTAGAGTTAAATGGAACAGACTTGGAAGACATTCCAGAAGAATTTATTTCATTAGCAACAACACTTGTCATTCTAGATTTGACAGAATGCAAAACAAAAGAATTCCCAATGATAATTTGCCAATTTGACAAATTAAAGACATTGAAATTATCTTCTCTGTCTATAGTTTCTCTACCTGATAAGTTATCAGCACTAACCAATCTACAAAATCTAGAAATAACTAACAGTATTTTTAAGGAATTTCCAACTGTTATCTTCCATCTTCCCAGTCTCAGAAATCTACAATTAAGTGGTGTACAATATAATGAATTTGTGAATAGTCCTAATGTTAAAAAGTGGATAGAGAATAAAATGCCACATCTTCAAAATTGTGGTTTTGACAATGTCACTCTCAAAGAAATATTCAAACAAATTGATAGAAACAGACTTGATGATTATGGGAAGAAAAAGAAATTGAAATTTTTATGAATAAAATACATAATCAACTACCAAGATTATCAAATTTGAATTTTGATTTGTGTAAAGATACAAATATTGGCCAAGTTTTAAGAATATTAAAATTGTCTTATCATAAATTCAAAGTAATTGATGAAAGTATTAAGAATTTTATTAATTTAAGGATTTTAGATTTATCTTATAACATTGATCTTGTTGAAATTAGTGGTGAAATTTGTAATTTGCCACTTGAATCATTGAATTTAGATGGTTGTCCTGCACTTAGAACGCCACCAAGAGAAGTTGTTAATAAAGGCCTTGAATTTATTCAAGGTTACATGAGAAAATTACTTGAAGGCTCAAATAGATGCAGAAAAACTAAATTAATATTGGTAGGATTGGGTGGAGCTGGTAAAACTAGTCTTGTCAATAGAATGATGAATGATACTAAAGAAGGCAGTACAGATACAAATGTTACTGATGGAATTATAATAAAAAAGTGGCTTCTTCAATCAGTTGAATATTCAGTTTGGGATTTTGCTGGACAAACCATCTATTATAATACTCATCAATTTTTCTTATCAAATAGAGCAATTTACATTCTTTTATGGAATGTTCGTTTAGGTTATGAATATGCTGGTTTAAATTTTTGGTTAAATACTATTGGTCGTCATGCTCCAAATGCTCCAATTTTACTTGTTGGTTCTCATATAGATGAGGTATATATCCTTATTTATGTTTTTCCATGTAATTTAGAGAAAGAGAGAGCAAACTAAACATTAATTTCTCAGGTTGAGGAAGCTGACATAAACATCTCCTCTTTGAAAAGAAGATATGGACAAATTAAAGGATTTCATTTTGTTTCTTCAAAAACTGGTCAAGTGAGAAATATTTCTAAAAAAGATCATGAATAATGCTGTTAAAGTAAGTTATTTTGGAGGATTTTCTTTGATTTACATTGAGCATTTGTATTAAAGGATGGAAGAATATTACACGATGATCTAACAAAAGTATGGCCTACCAAAACTTATCCTATTGAATTACATAGTTGGCTTATTACTCTAATGGAAGAATTTAATTTATTATTTTCATTAAAATCACAAAAAGAATACTTAATACCTTGTCTTCTTCCACCATTTCAAATGGAAGTAGGTCAAATAGTAGATTAATTAGTCCACTTTTTTTTTAAATAATCATCAATATCTTTATTCCGAAGAATTTTTGGGAAGGAGACGTCTTAACTGAACAAGATATAGAAAAAAAAATGGTTTATGAATTTGATTATCTTCCATTGGGACTCTTTAATAGAGCTCAAGTAAGGCTTCATTACTACAGTGATGAATTGAAATTATGGAGTGATGGATCATTCTTACAAAAGAATGAACATAGAGGATTTATTAAGAAAACAGAGTTTGTATTATAGAAAAAAAATTACTAAGAATTGTTGTAAATGATTTCTTTATGACAATAGTAGCTCAAAAGTTATTGTAAAAGTTAGAGGACCAAGACCAGATAATATTTTGTTTTTTGTTCACGAAGTATTCGAGAGACTAATTGAAGAGTCTTTTTCTGGAGTGAAATATGATTATTTCCTGTCTTGCATCGAATGTGTTCGTTGCAGAGAATCGCGACCTTCTATGGTACCATCAGAAAGAATTAGAAAAGCTCTAAATTCAAAAATACCATTGTTACAATGCTTTCATCATTTTCATATTTTAACCTTTGATCAACTACAAAGTAAGAACTTTGAAATTAAATTCTTTTATTATCCTTTTCATTATAAACCTTTAATATTACATTTTTCATTTTTGTAGATATGTTGCCACCAAAAGTTTCTGACAATCTGAAACATAAAAAATATACTAGAAAACTTATCAATGAATTATTCAAATACATTAGTATCAATTAAATACCATTTTTAAGTTTTCTTTCTTTGATAGCGTAGAAATGAATGCCAAGGCAAAATATTTCATCAGCACATTTCTCATTAATCTCTTTTTTAATTATATTGTGCTCTTCAGCATTTTTCATTAGTGAATGATTAATTATGTTTCATTTTTCCAATTGTGAAATTTATTCCCTTTGGTTGATACTTGCAGAATACTTTCTAATTTTGTTATGCTATACAAATTGTAGCCGTTTTTCTCTTCGTTTTTATGTTAAATGATCTTTTCCCTTTTGATTGCTTTTGAAAACACTTCACTATTATTAATAACATTTTTAGTTATCATTGGACATTCAACAAAACCCTTCAAACTACCTAAAGATAACAACAATGTCAGCTCTTCCATAGGCCTGATTATGCTCCCTACTTTGTCCACATATTTCCTATAAGTTTGTACTTTGTTGTATCATGATTGTAGGAATTTCGTTCTCGTCTCAACTGTATTCGTCCCTACCGCTCATTTAATATTACGCCAAAGTACTGGTCCAAATAGAACCTCAAGTTCGTCCACAAGTATATCAAATAAATGATATTTGTCCAAAGTTTTATATCAAACTTTCAACAGAAAGCCAGTATTTTCCAGATAGAATATGTATTGAATATTCTGAGCTTTTATCTCGAAGCAAGCGGTTAGAAAACTAATCTAACAACTGTTGAATTCTAAGGGTTTATATACTTTCCTAAGAGTTTAACAATTCACAATTTCAAAGTTAACATTTTAACACAATTGAAAGTTCTAAAAGCATCCTACCATTTTGAAGGATACGACAGAAAACATCCACAAATGAGTGCTTTTACCCTAACTCTAACCCAGCCCTTAGCTGTACCTAACCTTTTGTATTACCCCTAACCCTTAGAGGAGACCCTCCTAAGTATAAATCAGTTGCTCTCTTCTTCTGCCTAACCATTTCTCAATCCAAATTTTTGTCTTGAAATTTCTCATTTGTGGACTTTTTCTGTCGACCCCCATTTTGAATAGTCATATAAGAAAGTCCTGAAGATACATTAATTCCTTTGAGAAAACCTGAGAAAAGATAGTAAAAGAAGGAAATTACTGTTAAGCATTCCTCTGATAGGCCCAATGGGAAGAAATTGATATCAGATTTTATTTACAATGTCTCTAAGGCTTAGCAATTGTTGTTAAACATATGGCATGGTATTTTTTGTGTAAAGATGTGCTTAAGGTACCTGTTGATAAAGTATCATTTATCAGTTTTATCATCATTTCATTAACACAAAATGTTGGGATATCGATAATTCCCCCATAAAAGTTACATATTCTCTCAACCTGATAAAAAGAACCATAACTTTTCAAAGTCCTGCCCTTTAAACATTGTCAGAGTGATTATTATTAATAATAATCTCTAAATTATTGAGAAACAACAAAATTGTCGATTCTCTAACCCTGACCATAAATTAGCTGTTTTCCTAATATTACAAATTCCATTGTCCCTAACCCTTCACTTTAATCATTTACACAAACAGATCAATAATGTATTTCAGAAATGTGACTAATTGGAAATAGTTATTTTGTGCAATGTTTTGTCTCTATATATTTCAAGATATCTAAAAGTGTGCTTGAATATTTCTTCCACAAATGTTGCTTGTTTATCATTTAGAGAGCAATTACTCATATCCAACTGTTTTAAAGTGAGAGAAGAGGATTTAAGTCCTTGACAAATTGTTTTAAAACCATTTCCCATATTGCTATTACCAGTTAACAAAATACTTTCCAATGAAGAACATTGATGTAATGTTTCACCTAAACATTTTGCCTGTTCTTCATCTAAACAACAATCTACAGCATCAAAATGTTTCAATGTTTTAGCAGAGGATTTTAGTCCTTCACAAACTGTTTTGAACCCATTTTTCATTTCTCTATTCCAAGATAAACCAATACATTCTATTGAAGGACAATGTTGCAACATTTCTCCAAAATCTTTTGCTTGTTTATCATTTAAGCAACATCCTGAAACATAAATGCCTTTTAAAGTTTTGAAAGAAGATATAATTCCTTTGAAGATTTCTTTAAATCCATTTCCTAATAATCTATTGTAAAATAAATCTATAGTGTCAAATGATGAACAATTCTGGAACATTTCTCCCAAATAAGTTGCTTGTTCGTCATTTAAATCGCACCTAGTAATATTGATTTTTTTCAAGGTATTACAAGAAGTTTTCAGCCCTTGACAAATCATTTTAAAACCATTTTCCATTTTATAATTGAATGACAAGTCAATCACTTCTAATGAATTACAAAACTCAAGTGTTTCTGCTAAATGGAGTGCCTGTTCACAATTTAAATTACACTTGCCTAACTTAATACATTTTAAGGTTTTAGAAGAGGATTGAAGTCCTTTACAAATTATTTCAAATCCATTTCCCATTGTTCCATTGGAAAACAACACAATACTTTCTAATGAAGAGCAATACTGTAATGTTTCTCCCAAATACTCTGCCTGTTGAGCGTTTAAACAACAACCTGCAAAATTGATTTCTCTTAAAGTTTTGCCAGAAGTTTGAAGTCCTTGGCAAATTGTTTTAAAACCATCTTTCATATAATAATTAAAAGATAAATCAATAGTTTCTATTGAACAACAATGTAATAGCATTTCTCCAAGTGAATTTGCTCTTTCAACATATAAATCACACCGAACAACATAGATTTCTTTTAAAGTGTTACAAGATGATTGTAGTCCATCAAAGATACTTTGACATCCATTACCTATTATTCTGGTGTCAGATAAGTCAATAGTTTCTATAGTGGAACAATTGTACAAAGCACCTCCTAAATGTTCTGCCTTTTCATCATTTAAATGACACCTTGTGATATTGATTTGTTTTAGAGTATTACATAATAACTTCAGTGCTTCACAAATCATTTCAAATCTATGTCTTCTTGGCTCGTGCTCAGACTTTCCAAACTGCCAATAATCCTCCATTATTTCTTTATTTATGGTATGAAGGTCAAGGTGATTTCAGTCATTAGGTAGGTAAACTCCAAAATAGCAGCTTGATCTATATCTTAATAAACAAGCTTGGTATAATAAATTTACATTATTAAAATTGATGTTTCACTTTCTGACAATTACCACATATTTCATAATTAAACACTAATATTGCACAATACATTTTATGGACACTGTATTAGACCTCTTTTAGAACAATTTTTTGAGAAGACTTCTATTTCTTCTTTTTACAAGAAAGTTAATGATAAATGCTTGAATGTATAGATGATAGGATAACTGTAATAAAATCAATGTTACCCTAATTTTAGTGTACCTAACTTTTAAATACATGACCTACTTGAAATGTAAAAAATGTGTAGTTTTTGTTAATGATTTATGTATAGATGTTACAAATGATAATAATCATTGTAAATTTAAAAATACCTGGATCTAACTCAAAATACGATCTGCCTGTTCCATTAACCAATTCTTTTGCAGATTCTTCTTCCGTATCCGAAAAAAAAGTGCAATAATTTGGACTTCTGACAAAAGATCTTTGAAAAAAAAAATCCAATTATGTAATAAAAAAGATCTGAATTTAAAAGCTTACTTGCATTCAGCAATATTGCTACACAAGTGTTTACAAGTATTTATGGTTACATCTTGGAATTTAGCAATAAATGTTCCTGAAAAAGTTTTTCCGGTAACTTCTCTGAATTCTCTGGTATCTGAATAGATATACAGATATATATTTTTCTAACAAATCTATATATAAAGAAATCGGATGTAAAACAAAATGTCTCATAAAGGTGAAGCTCAGGGCTAGGCTCCTGCCTTTTTTATGATTAGGGATAAATATAGTGAAATTACATCATGGGTTAAGGTTGGGGTAAAAATACGAAATATTGAGTCACTTTTTCTAGCATCCAAAGAAGCCTACCTTTGATAGGAAATATTCCTGTATAAACACAAACGTACATTATTCTCTTAAAAATTATTTTTCCAATAATTATAATACATACCACAACTATTAGGTTTTTCGTAGTTACTATTGTGATCATTTTGCAGTTCATCTATCAATGGTGTTGTTTGATTGAAGAACTCACACCTTGATGAATAGCTATCAATAGACCTGATAAAGAGAAGGAAGAGAGTATAGGAAGTTTTCCAAAAATCAATTTTATAACATAAATTTCAATACTTACCTGCATTCTGTCAATTTATCGCAAATGCTTTTACAGGTTTCCGAATTACTATTTGTAAGGGTTGCCAATGGAATACTATCCACTCTTTTTCCAACTGTTGTTATATAATTGCAAGGAGCTAGAGAATGATAGATAGATAAATAGAGAGGAGATTTCAGGAAATTACTTTTTAAACAAATTGTATAAGTATAATACAGACTTGTTGATGATAATTTACTTAAAAGTGATTCTATAAAGTAAATCAACCATATTTTTGACACCAACTTTGCAAACATCTTTCCAGAGTCCAATTTAAATTGTTTGGCTATTTTGTCTCTTAATATAATTGGCAAAAATCTTGAGTTATTAACAAACTTCTTTCTGTTCATGAATAATTTATATTTCGTTAATAAACGTATAACCTTTTATACTAAAAGTTTCATGGAATGTGATACTCTATGAAACATTCAAGAGATCCATAATACTATAAAGTAAATCAACCATATTTTTGACACCAATTTTGCAAAACATCTTTCAAAAGTCAAATTTAAATTGTTGTAGAAAAATATTCTCTTTATTTATATAAATCTGTAAAAAATTAGGAAAAAGTAATAAACTTACAAATAATTTCCATTTCTTAAAGAAAAAAAAGAATTTTCATACACATTTTTTATATTGAGATATTCTATGTAATATTCAAAAATACCAAAAGTTAAATAAATAAAATTTGACCTTATCCTCGTGTTTGTTGAATAACATGCTAAAAAACTATTACAACAGTCTTTGTACCTTTTTTATACTTGAACTTTGCTATATTCTAATTATAGAATAATTTTTGCCTAACACTACTGCATTTGTTTTTTCATAGAATAATTTATCCTCTGTTGAGTAGAAGATCTTTTTGATTCTTTTCTTTCAAGAGGGTAACTGCATGATCAACTTTATCCTTTTCTTAAACATAAGAATTATCAATTGAGCTTTCTATTAGATCACTTTAAAGTACACTTGCATGTTTATAATCTGATAATTGTTGGTCCATTGTCATCTTCTGCTATGCTCATTGTAGAAGATTTGCATCCTTAGGATAAAGAGCAGACAATTTTTCCTTGCCAAAAAGAGGAATTTTTCAATCACACAAATCTTTGATGAGTTAATTGTTTTTTAATTATCTCAATTTAAAAGAAAAATTTTATCACAATAAAATTAATAATTGTAATAACAAAATAACAAAATTGGCTACAGTTTTGTCAAAAACAGGAAGTGGACAAGACTTTTTGCACCTTAATAATTTTTGTTTAAACAGTTACGAATTTAAGAGTTTTTGAAATATACTTTCATTCTTCTGAACAAGGATGTGGTTTCCCAAGATCAGACAGTTTGCATAGGATATTTACAATTTATATCTACATTGTTGAGTATCATGTCAAATGCAATTAAAGATAAGTTTAAATATTAACTTGTAGAGTAAAATAGCAGAAAGGGAGCAATGTTTAGTTGTTGTGATCATTAATTTTATACTAATTAACTATAGCATTGGAGTTAAGTAGTAAATATCAAAAATTAATTGAAGAAGTATTCTAATAAGTAATTAATGAGTACACTTTGGAGAAAAGTTTAAAATCTATATCTAAAGAATATTAACAAGCTCTAAAAAATTGAAGGTAAGCCTTGAACATTATCAATTCTATTCAGAGATTGAATGAGTAGTATTTAATAAAATTTATGAATTTCAAATGTCATGGCTGTTCTCATTGATTTATCAACAAACAATATCTTTACTTTTTTTATCAGACTTTCGCAAATTGTCATGAAATTTTAAATCACTTAAACAATAGCAATTGTCTCGAGCTTTTATTTTCTTTATAACTAACATGTTCAGCAAGCAAGTTTAAAATAATAATTCATCAAGAAATAGGTTAATATTCAAGGTTAGCTGGCTGATTCAGTAGTATATATGTCAGACTATATATAACAATTTCACTATTAATTTGAGTCCAACAATACACATTTTTAAAAGCAAGATTATTATTATTAATTATTTAATAAAACTTGATAAATAAAAAATTTTTTTCATATGACTTCTGAATTGATGACTCTCACCCATTAGTCACTCTGTGGAAAATATGCAAAAACAACATAATGATCAATCTCATGGTAATAAATGTTTATAATCATTAATCAATTATGTTTTAGTAGCAGTTCGCACAATCACTGAATTTTGTCTCAATAGGTGGAGCCACATTACCTTAAATAATTAACAAAATCTATATGTAGGTACAATTTAATCAGATTTGTACAAGTATTAAAATAGTTAGAAACATAATATCCCTGGGAAGGGTGGTGGGAGGTTGAGAAAAAATATTCAGGGAGGTAAAATCTTAGAATTCAGGGTATGGGTAGAAGCCATGTAAACAATTAGATTAGGGTTTAAGGTATCAGTCAAATTTTCTCCCACACCCATAATGTCCTAATAATATTTAAACAAACAATAAGAATAGGGAAGAATGATAAACTTTGAAGAAGATGAGAGAGTTTTCAGCATGATTTGTTCAAATGAATATGAAATGTTATTCCATTAAATTAAAATACTGACCACAATCTGTAACTTTTCCATAATAATCATATCTGACATCAACTTTAAATAAATTTGGTTTGGTGTGCTTTGATTCATTATTAAAGAAACAAGTTTTAGATCCTGTTTTATAATCAATTGACCTTTAAAAGATAACATTTTATCTTAGAATATTGAATTTCTATTTAAACAAAAGAAATTTACTTGCAAAATGGATTATTGTCACAATATTTTTGACAATTTTCAACAGATGTTATACCACTATGAGCGCCATTAAATTCAGCAATTGGAATTGATGAGACAGATATCGCTTTTCCCGGGAAATATTCATATGGACAAGCTAAATTTTCAAAGGTTTTTTTTGTTTTTGGTGTGAACATGAAAAGAAATAAGAAAGCAGACCTGAAAAAGTAGTTTGTAAAACTTGTATTAAAACGATAATATCAATTTGAAGGATTAATAGGAACATTGCAGTTCTATGAATGAAAGTTGAGTGCTATATTCTGCAAAAAATTGGATGGCTGAACTATTGATAATCAATTATCATTCAATCCGCATCTGGTCGTTTTGTATATTTGATTAAGACTTTTGAGATATTTTTGTTCATCTATTTTTGACAAACAAAACAAATATTTGTCTTTCTGCTGAATATTTAATAACAAATGAGGATACATTGATTTCTAGTGTAGTCTGTCAGCAATTTGCAGTAAAGATTCAAATATACGGTTAGAACTTTTATTTAATGTTTCAATTTAAGGACAAATTGAGATCTTAAAGATATGTTGCTTATTCTCTCTCTCGTTACCTTCTCAGAGAAATAAGTAATCTTGTAGATAGAAAATGTCGACAAATGAAGCTAACCCCTGTCTCTTGGCTATCCCTAAGGTGAAACCCTATATTGTAAAATGGACTGACTAATCTTAAGTAATGAATTCCAAAATGGCGCTCTTTTAATATAGCAGTAATAAAAGAATATATATTCACTGAATGAACAACTGCGCCTTTTTTATTCTTTAATGCCAAAGTGGCTATGCATTTATCATAGAAATTTTCTCAGCTTTATTATTAAAACGATTTAAAAATTCATTTTTGAAAACCTAGATCATATCCAGCATTTTCACAAATCCTGTTAAAAACAAATGACATTTTACGAATAAAAACGTTTGTCCTTTTTACAAATTCTTTTGCTTTGGGACCATGCAAGTGTTTATACATTAACTTTAACAGCCAAATCATCAATTGTAGCATTTCTATGAATAGTAGGATGAATTTCTATAAATCTTTTATAAAAGTACAATTTATACTCTTTGAGTTTTAATTAAAGCAAAAGAGTGCATTACTGAACATTCCAAGAAACAATATAAATGCATTAAATAATACTTTGGAATTTTACCATAAGTAAGAGATAAAAAGATAAAAGATGGTATTGTAATCAAGATGCATACTAAGAGAGATGATAAAGCTAAGTATGGAAAATTTATCATCTGATACAAAAATATTGTCATGATGACTAAATTTCATAAAAAATCCAAATTTCCACTGATATAGAGATTATAATTGATAAAATATAAATTATTTAATATTATTGTAAATTTACCCAATTCAATCCAATTTCCTAAGAAGATGAAATCTTTATTAGAATACCAAGCATTCCATTCATTCTCTATGAGTAGGACCATTAAAATACATATTAACAATATGTTCGACAAAATTGTAAATTGATTTTCAATTATGTAATTTTTTAAACCAACTAAGCAAAATATCAAAATCAATAGGAAAAGCATTGAGGGATATACAGTAAAAATATTATTAAATATTATTCTGATAGGCCTAACAGGAAGAAATAAATATCAAAAAGAAAAGTAGCTTCTGCTTAAGGAAAATGACTACCAAAGGATTCTTAGTTCAAAAAGACAATCCTATATGTGCAAATTGCTCGAGGTATTTTGGCTGTAAAACGATCAAAGAACAATGCCATATCAACACATTTACATCAATTGCTGATGAAGAATTTAGCATGTTCTTTGTGTAAGAAAATGTCTGGCTGGTTTAGAAAATATTTTCTAAAGCATTCTCTTTGAATTTTTTCACAAAAATGGTGCATTTTCAGTTATATTCATAATTATTTATGATTAATGACATGATATCTTCTCGCTTCAACATCAGCAATGTGCTTACAGAAACTAAGAGAGGACATTTTCTTAGAAGGAGCGGATGATGACACA